GTCCTCTGCCGTGGTTTCGGGATGGATGTTCCCCAGATACACCGTTCTATTCATTCCCTGCATGCCCATTCCAGCAGCACCGGCTGAAGTAAGGTTCATACCATCCGGAGCAAACGCTGCGTAGGGCGAGAATGGACCACCGAATCCATTGGCCCCAAATGGGTGTGCCCCAGCACCGGGAGTAAGCGCAGCGGACTGCGCCACAAGCGATTGCGCTGCGGCAGCCTGCGCGGCCTGTGCTGCGGCCTGCTGGGATTTGGGGACGTAAGCGCAGCGGTCCTTGCCATAGTTAATGCGCTTGCCCGCCCAAGCAGGTTCAGTCGGCAGGGTATTGACAACCTACCATGACCGCCTGAGCAATCTTATCCACGAAAATGAATTTTATTCCCACGCACCTTGGTAGCGATAGCGATGCTCAAAAAATGAACAAAGCCGATGTTCTTGTCCCGAACAATCTTGACTTGATCAATGAGACCAAACCGGCTCAAGTCATCTCTCAGTTGTTCTTCTGTCATGCTCTCGTCCAAGCCACCAAGATAAACGTTCCTGCTCGCATTGCTTTGTTGGATTGCGAGTTGGACTTGAGCGCTTACAGGGGAAGGTTTTCCCCAACCAATTTTAAGCTCTTGTCCATGAAGAGAAAGTTTCTTGATCGTTGCATCCGCATGGAACGCTGCTGCAGTGGCAGCATCAAGGAAAGAAAGGAATACACAAGACTTTTCTGGCAGAACACGAATGGACTCGAGGGGTCCAAAGTGCACCAGATTTAAGAGTTCGTCCACAGAGGCCGTCGCGGGTAGGTTTCCGACGTATACAGTTCGTCCAATGAGAGCGTTAGGCGCTCCCGAGAGAGCGGCAGAGAGAGCAGCGGGCGAGTAAGCCCCAGGCGTCGGTGGAATGTTCACGTTAAGAGACGGAAGACGTGGCTGCTGGGAAAAGGCCTTCGGGGACTTTCAAACCTGATTCCTTACGCACGTGATGTACACTCACCTGCCCGAAATTTCCTGAATGATTCGAATACCCAAAACCGCCCAGCATCCCAACACTAGGCAAGCCCATGCCTAGCATCCCGTATCCGAACTGACCCCCTTGACCCTGACCACCTGCCTGTTGCTGTTGTTGCTGCTGGGCGAAACCACTGCTGGTCATCGGGTGTGGGCTCATCTGTACTTGGCCATGTCCATTCATGCCCACGCCCGTGTTGATAGTGAGCGAAGGCGTCGAGTACAATGCGTTAGATGAAAAGGACGGCGAGCCGGCGGGCTGAAAACCGGGCTGATTGATAGAGGCTTGGGGGCCATATCCATAGTTCATAAACGGGTCACGGGTAGAAGCACTACTGGAATTAGCTGTACCGCCTGTAGCTGTCGAAGAGAGACCACCAGCTGTCCCAGCAGTTCCTGTGTACGAAGGTGGTGACCAACGGGCTTTTTTGGCATCAGGGCCTCCGACTGTATCCATAGACCTCTGTACGGGTATATTTTTGTGAGTCACTACAGCGGATGCGAAGATGACCCAACCGACCTTCATCATGTCGAGATCAAAGCCGTAAGAAGGGTAGTGGGTAGCGAAAGCTGTTTGAGTGTCGTCCATCGATGCGAATGGAGAGCAACGCGTAGGTCCAAACGAGTGTGTGGTCGGAAGAGGAATGAAGGAAAGTGAATTGGCAACGGCGGAAACGTCGTTGGAGAAAGTTCAACGAATAATGATGATGGATAGTAAACCAAAGGGCAAAAGTTAGAGAAGGAACGAACCCAAATGACAGGTGGGGAGGTAGAGAACGTGTGTGTGATATGGACGGGATGTGCAAAGTGTAAATCGAGCGTGCAAAAAGGGCGTTTTTTTCGACGATCTCTTTGCAACGCCGTGTCTGATGTTTCAAACGAGTGTGGTTGGTGGTGGTGGGGAAAGAAAAGAATGTAGAAAAGAGAAAGAAAGAAAAAAGCACGCACAACGAATGGGTAGAGTATGGGGTACGAGGAGAAGTGGTTCTGTTGTGCCGTATAGATAAAACTTTTTGTATAAACGACAAGGACAACACCACGACGAGATCAAGACCGACGCCCTGTCAGACACAAAAATGAAACCTGATGCGGTGAGCTCGACGACAACACCTACGTTAAAATGCTTGACGACGGCGACGACACGGAACGGAAATGAAAAGGGAAAAAAAAAAGGTAAGTAAGACTCGTCAAGCCAGTCAAGTTTGAGTGAAACTGGAAAAAACAAACGAAACCGGAAACTGTCTCGACTTTAGCCGGCCTGTCAATTGCAAGTCTTACTCATAGTCAAAAAATCTTTATTGTCTACGCGCACGGACACTCGTCGTTTATCACAGAAAACTAGCTGAAGTATCTCCAAGTGTCTCCCAGAGCATCTTCTCGTACTCTGCAGCACTGTCCATGTCTTCTTCGTCCAATGCCTCGTCTTCTCTCAGCTCTGCCTCCAGTGCCTCCTCATCTGTCTCGCTCGACATCCAATCCGCTTCCTCTTCACCCTCTCGGTCCGCACGTCTCGTCGCCTCCCGCATGTACGTCCTCGAAAAACAATCCAGCGGATGCACTCCTAGGGCGGATGGCGGGCGGATGAACGGCATGTACAGGTCTCTGTGGGTAGATACCACAGGCACGGCCGGATCTCCATGTTCGCATCCGCCCTCATCTGCAGACTCGACGGGGAGGTCATATGAACGATTAGAATGATGGCTGACCGCAAATTCATTTTCGGTGTCGCTCGACTCGGTATCATTACGGAAGCAGAACTCGGCAAAGAATTCCTTATGACTTTTGTACCGCACGCCCAACGTCTCAATCGCATGTTTGATGGCGCTTACAGTGAGAAGCTGCAAGCACCGTTTAGCATACCAGACGCTCACTTGCCATCGACAAATCGTACCTGATCACTGGACCTCCACGCCCGACTGCCCTGTTTGAGCCGGATCTGCCCTTCTTTCCACGCGATCGCACGGTATATGACATCTGTCACAAAAAATACCACGGTAGCTTGAAGGTGTCGGATCACGGTTGCGTCTATGGCGAACGGTAGCTCATCTTTAATCCCATCGGTGCTTGCATCGTCTGACGGTGACCCGCACTCGAATGCGGTAAACAATCTACGTGTCAAGTATCAGAGGCAATAGAATGCCAAACGAACTACGAAGCAATACACACCGCGTCAACCGCGCAAGTGCATTCAAATGTATCAAATCCATTCCCTGCGCACGGAGATAAGCCGCGTCGATATCAAGTTTACTGAACATCGACTTGAGCTTGGACCGCAACGTCAAACCGCGTGTGGTTTGCTTCATCTTCGTAGGCTCTTCGTCGTCTGATTCAGAATTCGATTCAGGTGCAGACGACTTCGGTGTCGTGCATCGACTCTTGTCTTTGGCTTTTCGACCTGGCTTCAAGCGTCTTAGGCCCACAAGCTGTTCAATGTCCGCAGTCTCAACTTCGGTCGCGCTATAAAAGGCTTCCTCCCTTCCTTGCGATTTGGCTCGACGCCGTCGCATGTAAAGGCGTTTTTGGAATCGGCGCCGTGACTTCGGGGAAAGAAGGTCGGGATTCAACATGGTAGGGTCTTCGCTCGCAGCTCGAACGTGGCTCTGTATCAAATTAACCGTATCTCGTCGAGCGTCCTGAGTTACAGCAACTTTGGTCAGTGGAGGGCCACTCGAGACTAAGGGAGGTCGGTCAGTGGCAGCTATGCCCTTGATGGGGATGGATGGCATCGTCGTAGTAGTATTAATTGGGACTGTGTTGTTCGTTTATATCAGTTACGACGAGAAGATGTACAGCGATGAGATATGGCATTACCTCCAGAAATTGCCAATAGCTCCGGGTCAATCATAGCATTGGAAGGATCGTTAACATTCGCTTCTGTCACGTTCATTATGGTTTGCAATTCTCGCTCCTGCTCGTGACTTGGAGGGGTTCCCTCCAGCGTTTCCGAAAGTGGGTTCGCAGCATCCTGACTTTCTTTGCGACCCCCTTCCATCCTCAGCGATTCCTCGGCGTCTCTGAGGATAGAATCCAGCGCGCTTAGATGAGCGTCTCCGAGGCATGCTAAGTACTCCTCACGCTTTTCCAAGCGAGGACGTTTTGCAGGAGGCTCATTTGGGCTCAAGGTCTGGGCCTGGCATGCGACGGAGGATCGATCTACCTGTGTGCCACCCGCGTGTTGTAAATCGACACTCTCCTGCGACTTTGCATCGGCGTACGAAGTAACTTTCTTTGCACCCAGCCGTCGACAAGGACGCTTAGCATTAATGCCATCACCCTTGCGAGGTCTGCCGCGCGGGCGTTTCTCCTTCTGCTTTCCTTTTTCCACACGAAGGGAGTTTCGATACCGCTCAAGCAAAGCAGAGTTGTCCCCTTGGATGATGTGTGATGCGAGCGTTTCCTCTGCCGCAACCCACGCATCCGAAACTTCGTATGCAGACCCCAATTCCAAATCGGAAGCGGAGTCTTCCTCTTCAAAACCAAAGTCTGAAAAAGATTCGTCTCCGTTCTCTGCCCTGTCTAGGCACTCAGCGCCTTCTTCAAGAGCTGCGAGGTATAAGTCAACCTCCCACACGCTGCGCGTCGGGACAGCCGCAGCAATCAGGTCAGGACGCCAGCGCGAGTAGACGGAGAGTGCGCGGAAGAACGCGTTTTTCTCGGCTGGCGTCCATGGCCTGGACATGGCTAGTGATTTTCCAGTGTGGCTGCATCTTTCTGCACTTCGAGTACGCAGGCACGAGGACGACGTTCCCTCGTCCGCTACGTCATGTTCTGCACCTCCACTTCCGAGTCCGAATCTTGTCCGCGTGTCTTCCGAGTGCTCCAAGTAAGGTCGAGTGGTTTCTGGTTGCATCATGCATAGTAGTAGTGAATATGAGGAGAAGCGTGACACTGCATTGGAGCGTGACAAAATCTTCTCGACAGGGGCTAATTACGAGCTTCGTAAAGAGAGAACCAATTGCAGCGGCGATAGTGGTGCTCTCACTGAGTGCGTGCATCGGCTTTGTAGTGTAGTGGTTATCACTCGGGATTTTGAATGTAATTTCCCGAAACCCAGGTTCGAACCCTGGCAAGGCCTAATCTTTTGTCGCAGACGAGAAAAGAAACATCGTTTTTGCTTCCAGTAATCTGTTGTTGTAGAGTTGGACAACGACCCAAGCGTGTCCTCACGACGACACCCTAACCTCCAAGTCATTCCTGATCCGTGCGTTGTTCAATGCTTAGGCTACCACTCCTGGTCCCGGATCTCCATGCCCGTCACGTTTCATGTGTCTCCGTTCTGTTGGTGTCGTCTGACTGATACGGCGTCATATGGCCTCAAGATGATCAGGAAGCTCTCATGCTAATTTTGAATCGCACCCCCGCGCCGCACGGCCAGTGCTCGTTGGAGTTGGCTGTCACTTTGACCCCACTAACCCTGTCTAGGGTGGCCCAGGTTGTTTAGGGACAGGTAAGACTACAATTGCGTCCCGTCCTAACAGAAGGACTATACGTCTCTTACCACCGGACGTTTCATCCTGGTGCAAGTTGTGTGCATCAAAAAGTGATTTGATGATGCAGCCACGCGGCAACACACCTATCAGCAGCAGCCATCGTACCGAGTCGAACCGCGTCTAGAGCGTCGTGCGTTTTCCCCACACGTTTATCGCCACAGGACACACAAAGATGCATGGCATGCTGTGCGGGCATCCCCACACCGCTCGGCATCATGGCCGTGTCAACGACCGGTATCGGCAGATGGCAAAAAGATCCTCGGGACTTCTTAACAATTTCAATCAGTACCGGGAAACCAAGCTTGGAGACCTCGGAAGCCTCGCGGGTGACCCGCTGGCTCAGTGACAGGAGGACTGGATGTGGTGATTCGGAATCAGAGACGATTTGGTCATTTTAGAAGGCGTTCATAGGAGTGTAACGGTTACGGCCACCCGGTTGCAACGAACCTTATTGCTGGCAGGTATACGCATACCTGCTGTAATGCCGCACCTTCTGTTTCACCGTCGGAAACTTAAAGGAAGTCTCATGTTTCGAGACTGCTCGCGTATGAAGATTATGCACGTACAGTGTTGACAGGGTGTGTATGTTGCAGTCGACCACAGGGTACGATAATTTGGGGTCATCTCATGTCTGCGGGGGAATCGGTTCAGCGCATCATTGGCGGAAGCGAGCGAACACCCCAGCCTAATAGTCTCAGCTTTTACTACATCGTCTTTGGCCTCTCAAGCCCTTTTTTCGCCCTTTTTTGACTCGAGGGAGGGCAATCGAAGCCGAAGGAAGCTGTGAACGTTATCAGGTTGCAAAACGACCGAGAATGCAGGTGTCTTCTCTTCCATTTCCCTCCCTGCTACTGACTTACAGAGACGGCTCGTTGCTGTTGCACAGACCTCGCGCGAGTTGTTGAGGTAAAACTTGTCGCAAGCTGGCAGCGATAAAGTTATAGTAGCGACGGAACAGAACACCCGCTGCCAGCCTGATCTACTCTTTAACAGGCTATCAACCGCTCCAAGCCTGCCTCACTGACTTGTCACACAACCACGCGGTCCAACACGGAGCACGCAACGAGGGCAGTCTGTATCACACAGATTCAACGTGGTCGCCACCCGGATCGGTTCACTAGACCTCTCCGCGCCTAGGTTACTACATTTCCACCGGAACGTTGGGGGGAATTAACGGACAGGAAAGGCCTAGCACTCAGTGTGGCTGAGAGCGCCAACGTTCACAGGTCCAAGGGTTCCGTTACATTCACGATCGATCGGTTTTTCGTCGGTTAGCGCGACTTCGAGCGACAGGGAAACGACTGACGGTAGAACGGCAAATAAGCGACTATGGACTTGGGCGTGCCCGGAAATTTGGTTGTCAAGTATGACAACGACACGCGGATCGGGGGCGGCGACGGGGTGGTGTGGGCGTGTAGCGATAAGACCCGCACTTCAATTCGCGCGGGTGAAGGGACCAGTGCAGCGGCGGGTGAGGTTAACGGGAAAAGGCACAATTTGGGTCTTCTCGAAGCAGTCAAGAACGAGTGGACAGGACGCCGGAAGGGTAGTGAACGGACAGCACCCGATGAAGATCGCTCGCAACATGACCAGCGACCCTCGCCTCGTTCACGCCGCGTGGGCATCGTCTTTTTGCCTCAAAATTACAAACGCCCACACTCCCTTCTCGACTTGAAGGACGCAGCTCGTATCTGCGGCCAGAGCTCCAACGACGTCGGCAATAATAGTCCCACTCCTATTGCTAATCCTCCAGTCATTCCTCCCCGCTCCCCGCTTCGACCCGTCTCCTTGCGCTACCAAGAGCTTCAGGATCCCTCAAACACCACCCCACTTCCTACGCCGGCAAGTCAGCACATAAATTTGGACATACCGCTTCATACAGACGCCCGTGGTCACCAAATGGACACCGTACAATCTCTACGCACCTCAAAAGAGGTGCTTCGGAGACACAGCTTGGGATCTCTCACTGCCATCCTCGATTCACTAGCCGCGGACCCAACGACCTTCCATGAGAAAGAGCTGCCCTTACCACCAGACTACGACGACGACCTCTCCAAAACCACTCAGAGCGATAGCGACGAGGACGACTCAGACACAGACACAGAGCCGGAATCACCCAGCGAAGCCCTCGCAGAGGAACTTGGCATACCTATCAACCCCACGCCTGCCACCGACGTTGTCACTCTCAACTCTGGTCAACACGCTGTCATGACCAAACGAATGCACGCGCTCTTTGAGTTGCTTTCATCAGAGCGCGCCTATGCATCTGATCTCGCTTTGATCCGCGATATCCACATCCCACTCGCACTAGGCAAGTACACCTTTGTATTTCAAGCCCATATTCAGTGTCTCATGCTGCTACACAGGTCAACCACCGCCATTCAGCCCAACTGGTTCTGGGAGTCCGCCGCCATTCCCCTCTGACTCAGGATCAGGCTCCTCGTCACGAACGGTCTCAACGGCATCAGACTCTTCCACGTCATCATCACAGCTTGGTCCTCCCATGTCACGGGAAGACGTACGCCACATCTTTGGCAACATTGAGGACCTTGCGGTCTTTGCCGACCGCTTTGTTGGTCTCCTGGAAAAGGCGATCGGTGGCGCTATAGACAGCGGAAATAGTGACGATAGTGTGGGCGCATTGTTCCTGGAGATAGTACGTGACACTTTGTCTTTTCAATCACTCGTTCATAGTAACATCTTTACTTGCCCTGTGCAGATCCCGTCTCTAGAGCCTCCTTACAAGACATACATCACCCGTCATCCGACTGCTTTAGCCCACTTGAATTCCCTTCCCTCATCTCCGGCCCTATCTGCCTATCTCTCCCAAACTCGCACCCTTGCTTCATCTCTGACTCATGCCTGGGATTTGCCTTCTCTGCTCATCAAACCCGTGCAGCGGCTCCTCAAGTACTCCCTTCTCTTGGGAGCCATTATTGAGGCAACGCCTGACAATCATGGAGACCGTGCAGCCCTTATTGAAGCCAAGCAGAAAATGGAAGACGTGGCAAGAAGCGTCAATGAAGAACGTCGACGATGGGAGGTCGTTCGCGAAGTCCTTGGAGATACATCTTTCCCAAATACCAATAGGAAATCCAAGAAAGGTTCCAACGGTGTCAACGTGGGAATACCTATGACCGGCACGGTCCATTTGGGTCGAATGAAAACCTTACGCCCGTCCAAAACGAGGGAGGTTGCTGAGACTGGGATCGATAATGCCGAAGCAGTAGAAGTTGCCCGCTTGGAATCCGAGCTCCAGCGATATGCCTCATTTTTTGACAGACTCGCAAGGGACGCCAGGGAATGGCGGGATGGCATGCAAGTGACATTGTTTGCTCTGCGTCAATGGGGCATTACGTTTGGTGCTGTTTTGGGCCTGACACCTTCCCCCTCCGCTCTCAACCCAGACCTCATGCCCGATTCGCCTAGTGGTCAGGCAATTGACACGTCAGACCCTGAGGTACGCTCGGAAGCATATGATGCTTTTACGGGCTTGCTATCCTCCCTCCCACCACTTTGCGATACATTCGACGAACGCCTAAGAGAGTCATTCATACCAGTTCTGTGCGAACTGAAGGCCATGCTTGAACCCCCTAAAAAACTCCTGAGTGCCATGCACGCACTTACTCCCTTACATAACGCCCTACTTCACGCTCCGTTCTCCCCGTCCAAGGGCCGGCGACCCGCACAAGCCCTGCTAACTGCTTCGCAGTCATATCTCGCGCTCCGCTCGGCGCTTGCTGCGGAACTCCCGTTGCTCCTGTCCGCTATGAATCGTGCGACTTCGCTTGCAATACGTATCCTCGCTGATGAACAAGCCAACTTGTACGCTATGATTGCGGACCAATGGGCCGAGTTGTGGGATGCTCTGCGTGTGGAGGGGGAGCGATGTGGTGGTTCCGAGGAAACATTACGCGTCTGGTGGGAACGGTGGAGTGAGGTTGAGGAGCGTCTGCCCAAGTTAAAGATTACGCGACGGGAGAAATGGTGGGCCGAGCGGGAACGGGAGCTCAAGGAAGGTCGTGACTTCAGGAGTGAAGCTCGGGACAAGTCTAGAGATACCAACCGGGAGAGGCAAACTAGAAGGGCCGGTGTGCCGGCTTCTGGGTCTAGTGCAAGTGGGTTCGATCCATCCACCGCCGCCCCGCAGTCGCCTCCCCACTCCCAGGCACGACGTCAACACCAATCTCGTGTCTCCAACAATACCCCCACCTCGGACAAGCGTCGCAGCGGAGGCAGTGCGGTTACCCCGTCACCTCCCCAAGTAATACAACGGCGACCGTCGGATGAATCTTTTCGGTCGGGGAAATCTGGGAAGTCATCCGGCTACGGTGGTAGATCAGGTAGAAATAGCAGAGTGGATGACGAACCACCCGTACCCCGGCTAAAACCTAACTTCGTAGCGAGTTATTCCAATGGTCCCCAACACAGAAAGAGTGCACCAACTATTACTCCTCTGCACACGTCCGCGTCCTCGTCCTCACAAACTGTGATCGACATCGAGCCGGGTTATCCGCCCTCGCCGCTTTCACGCGATGTGTTTGATGATGACGAACAGGACAGGGGGCGGAGCCACCGGCGCTCA